ATAGTCAGAACATGAGTGAGCCTCAAACGGCCACAGGATCGGATTCTTCCTCTTCCCGATCTTCTTTTTCAGGTGAGCGTCCTGCGCACACTTCTCCTATTTCTCCTACTCCTTTACAAACTATTATTCCTCCTGACCTTCCCCCGCTGCGAGCAGGATGGGTACTGCTGCGACTCCTGATGCTGCATCTAGGTCAGGTAGTAGTCGTCCCGCTGAGGGTAGTGCATTTTGCCCTTTCCAGCATAGTCCCCGTCCTAACTTCTTTGATCCTTACTGTGAGCGAGTGCTTACGCTGGATGGGATTCCCTTACCCCATCTTACTCGCCTGAGGTTACGCACAATGCGCCACAAAATGTTGGCTGATGCCGTTAAGGCCAATCCCCCTGACGTGTCTCTTGTTAGCCCCATTCCCCATGTTCAGCCTTTAAACAATTTTGCTTGGCTTGATGACATGGCTGACATGCATCGGTTTTATCATTATGTAGTGCGCGGTGGGAATACTAGGACTCCATCACCTTCTCCTTCCCCAGCAGTTCAATCAAGTAGAATGGCTGAGTCTCCTGGTGACCGCTCATACTTCAACTGTCAGCCCACTTATGTTGTTGAGCCTGTAGAGGAGGGCAAAAATGAATTCTTCCTTGATGACAAGTGTTATGGGCCTAAGAACTGCGTGCTAGATTACAGTTGGCGTAAGGACGTTGAGAGACTGGGTCTGGCTGCTGTTGGGCAGAAATTTTACGGTTTTGGGGAGGGTTACGAGCTGGTTCTGCCTGCTAATGGTGCGAAGTTATCAGCCCCTCCTGCAAGTCATATTGCTGTGTTTGCCTCGCAGCTAGACTTGGGCTTGAGGTTCCCCTTGGACCCCACCTTAGAGAAGCTGCTACGCGCTTTTAACATCTGCATATCTCTGGTGCACCCTGGCTCCCTTCATACCCTGATTTGTCTACTGTGGTTTTTGAGGTTTCGAAGGTACCGTGAGTCTCTGCATTTGTTCAAGTCTCTCATGAGCCTGAAAAGATCAGCCTCTGGGACTGAGTCAGGGTGGTACTATGTCGCTCCCAAAGAGAGTAGAGTCTTGTCCTACCCAAAACTTGGGCGTTTCAAGGACTGGACTGGCAAGTCTTCTGGGTGAGGGTGCCTTCTAATTTTGCTGCTCCGCGTAACATCAAAGAGATTCGCACCAACATGGCTGGGGTCACAGTCTCTCCCTCTGAACCTGCTCGTGAGACAAAGGCTTTTGAAGCTCTACAGGGAGCGAGGACAGGTGAATCCAAGTTTCCCAAGGTCTGGTTGCCCAATTCTATTTACATCGTGGGTAATGAGAAGCTTTCTGCCATGCGTTTGTGCCGTACACATGAGTCTGGTAAGCTTTTTCTGCCTTCTACTTTTTTTTTTTGCCTTATTTGACTTTTTGTCATTTTGTGTTTTTAGGCTATGACAAGTTGGACAAACGCATGCTCGGGCTGGCCGATAATTGGAAGGACCCTCTGACTGCCACTCCTGAGAACCCTCCTCAGCTCTTTGATACGCTAGAGGTGTTTGCGGGTTCCCTGAAGGGCGAGGTGCGTTTGGCTCTCGCTGAGCTGCGGGCTGTTGTTGGCACCGTGGCTACTAGTGAGCGTGCTGGGTCCAGCCGCGCTGAGCCTGAGCCTTCGTCTTCTACTGTTGGGAGTAGGCGTGATACTCGCCCTGCTCCTCAAAAGGTGGCTTCAGATTCTGAGGCGTTAGAGGCGCCTGCTGCTTCCCCTGAGAAGCAGTCTGTCGCGGCTTCTGGCAAGGTGGCACCTCAGACTTCTGCTGCCAAAAGGCCACGTGAACAAGCTTCTGAAGAACCAAAGGCTACTGCCGATGATTTTGCTGACATTGTTCTCCAGTTTTCTGAGGGGATTGAGACCATTGCTGCGGGTGAAAAACTCGTTTCTTCTGCTGAGCATGTTCTGCTCTTTCCTACTTCTACTGATGATACTATTGCTGCGAAGGGCACTGCCGTTCCTTCAGTTGCAGCTACTGATTTTCAGATCCCTGATGAATCTGTCCTAGAGCTTCCAAGGTTTCCGCCGCGTCCCTACGGGCTGAGGGGGCGGCTCCGAAGCGCTACCCGGGGTGGGCTCTCCCGAGCTACGGGCTCTCTCCAGCAGGATCGTCCAGTGATTGACCTGGAGGACGATCCTGTGTCTTTCGCCCCTACTAGGATGAGCCAGAGGCGAAAAAGGCTCGCACTTCTCCTGGCCCAGACCCTCTTGCTTCCACGTCTGCCAACACTGGATTTTCAGGTGGGAACGTTGGTGGGGGAGACACTCAGAACTCCTGTGAGCTTAACCGCTGCGTTCATTAGTTCTTGGGTGATGCCTTTGAGAATCCTCTTTCTGCGTCCTCACTCTCTGCTGGAGGGACTTTTTGCCCTACTGGGGCCATTGAGTTTGCTGAGGTCCCTATTGACATTCATCTTCGCCCAATACTCTGTCCTTCTAGAGCTGAGAACGCTCCCTTTCGGCCTTTGATAAATGTGAGGGCTGACGAGTCATTATTTGTAGACGACCCTCAGAAGGGTGGTACTCTACTGCTTGCCATGATTTGCAGAAGGTTAGTCTCTGCTTTTGGCTTTTCTTTTTATCGTTTCAGCTTTTCTCTACTTGTTTTGTTGCTGCTGTCTTGTTAACTTCTTTTGTTAACTCCCACTTTGGCTGACCCTTCTTTTCTGCTTTTCTTGCAGCTTGTTATGTCTGTGGGGGATTGGTCCAATGCCTTGCTGTTAGTGGAGAAGGAATATCAAAACTAGGGTATAACTCTTTCCCAGAAGACTCTAGAGGTTCAGCAGGCTCAAGCTGAGAGGGATGCTATGGCCAATGAGGTGACTCCGCTGAGGGAGAAGGCGGATGCCTTGCAGCTCCAATTAGGAGAATTTCAGCTCACTCAGACCAAGCTGAAGGACTGCGAGGAGTAGTTGGGGACTTCTCAGGCCAGGGTGAAGACGTTAGAGGCGGAGGTGGCAGATTTACAGGCTGCGCATGCTGTTGCGCTGGAGGCTGCTAGGAGAGAGGCTCTCAAGTCTTTTGCGCTCTCTCCTGCTTTTGCTAAGCTCTTGTCTGACCGCCATGATAAAGGATGGGAAGCTGCGGCTCGATGCGTTAGCAGCTTGTGTGGTGAGGGTGAAGAGCAGCAGGCTCGCTTTAATGCCTTCTAGGCTAAAGTTGAAGCTGCCGGTGAGGCTTGTTTGTTCGATCTTCCCGCTGATCACCCTCGCGCTGCTGGCTGCAAGATCCCCAACCAGGCCGTGCTGAACTTGGAGGTGCCTCTCTGCCCTGACGTTGCTGCAGCTATTGGAGTGAAGTCTCTGACTGATGATCAATAAAGGTTATGGCGGCTGTCACCCTCCTACTCCAGTGGTTCCTCTGAGTTTCCCTCTCCCAAATATGTTGTAACTAGGTAGTTTTTGTTACTATCTTTGGGGTGTATAGCTGCCAAAGATTATGTTTCTCTGTGTATTTTCAGAATACTTTTTCTTTCGTTGCTGGGTCTGTCCAGTTTAACTTGAATTTGTGATCTTCTAACTTTACCCGCTGAGTGTTTCCTTGTCCTGGTGGATGAGGGCTCAGCTTTATTTGTTTTGTGACTGACCTGCTGAATGTTTACTCTGCCTTGGTGGTAGGGGTTCAACCTTATAATGTATGCTCCTTATGATCTCCTCTTGCTGCTTTTCTTGCTGATTATTTCATTGTTTGCATGTTTGCTCTTTATTACGTTTGGTGGGGCCTCGTAGGTTGGGCCTTCCTGTCTTTTTAATTTAGCTGCCTAGCGCTTTTCTGTTTCTTTTGCGCTCTGCTGTGCTTCAACAGGGACTTTGTTACATTTTATCTTCCTGCTTTATCTGCTTCAAGTGTTTGCGCGTTGTGTACTTCACTTGGCTTTGACCAAAGGCTTTGTTTGTGTGCTGGTTGACATATTTGATTGAGCGCTATTTGACTTATCCTTGCTGAGACTTGTTTGTGTCGATCAGCTTTTTGCTTATTTCGTTTGTGTCATCAGCTTGCTTTGCTGTGACTTATTTGTGTCGTTCAGCTTATCTATGCTGCGACTTGTTTATGTCGTTCAACTTGTTGATGCTGTGACTTATTTATGTCATTCAGCTTATTTATGCTGCGAGGGCACTCTCCTAAAAAAAAGTAAACAAGAGTTAATAGCAGCTCTTCGATCTTATCTTTGATTGCTTTTTATGAAGTCGCACCGCTCCTGTTAAATGCAATTCTAAGGAGTTAAACCCGTTCTTGGTTGCCGTAGTGACGGGAATGACGGAATGAATGCCTGGTTTGTTTGATTTCCCAAACCAGCCAACCCAGCCCCATGGGCAGCCTCGAAATGGTTCAATGGTCACTTACGATGATTTCAAAAAGGATTGGTCGTTGTGTGTCACCACCTCCCACCTATCCTACACATTCGATCAAGGTTGTCACTGCGAAGCTATTTATGTCATTCAGCTTGTTTATGTTGCGACTTATTTATGTCATTCAGCTTGTTTACTGCCTGCTTACTTCTTTTTGTAAGGGCTTACTGCTTGACTGTCTTCTCCTTTCCTCTCCCCCCCTCGAAGAGATGGGCTGAATTGGAGTAAGAGAACCTTAGTGTTGCCCATGTAGCTCATCTTCTTCTTTTCCTCTCTTCTCCCCTGCTCAAGCTGAACGTGTCAGGATCCCCTCAGGCGTCCTCGAGGTGGTGCCCTATTTTGCTATTTGCAGGTGAAGTGAGGTTTTAAGGAGGGATGCTTTCACTTTGTCATTTTGCGCTAGAGTGCTTCTTGCCTCTAACACTTTATTATTATTCTTGTTTAATTTCTGCATGTTAGTATATGATGCTTGGGCATACTATATTAAACAAATTTATGCAACATACTCCTCACGCAGAGGCTTGCATTTCATTGAACAAAAATGGCTCAAATGCCTTAATTAACATAACATGGACTGAATAAAGATTTATCGACTTGAAACAGCTATGTTTCACGCTATTTAAACAAAATATTTCTTTAACACATCAGCATTGAAACTGTTTCTTAAGACCTGACCTTCTTGATCTGCAAGGAGGAACGCGCCTGGTCCAACCTGTTTGTGGATGATGAAAGGGCCTTCCCAGTTTGCTGACAGCTTTCCATGTTGATTTCCTCTTCCAACTACTGCTGTCCTCCTGAGGACTAAGTCAACTGGCAGGAGCTCCCTATGCTTGACCCTTTTGTTGAAAGCTTTTGAGATCCTGCTCTTTTGGGCTGCCAGCTTAAGGGCTGCTTTTAGCCTTACTTCTGGCAGGAAGTCTAGCTCTTCCAGCACGCGCTTTTCATTTCCTTGCTGCTCATAGTGCTGTATCCTCAGGCTGGGGATTTGCACTTCCACAGGGACAACTGCATCAACCCCGTAGGCTAGGGTGAAAGGACTTTTACCGGTTGACTCCTTCTCAATGGTCCTATTTGCCCACAAGACCTCTGGGACTAAGTCTTCCCATTGGCCCTTGTACTCCTCCAGCTTTTTCTATAAGGCTGTCAGGATCAGCTTGTTTGCTGCCTCTGCTTGGCCATTGCTCTGCGGGTGGCAGACTGAGGCACTTACATAATTGGTGCCCATATCCCCCAAGTAGTCCTTTATGGTGTCACAGTCAAATTGGCACCTATGATCAAAGACTATGCACCGTGGCACCCCGAATCTAGTGATGATGCTCTTCCATATAAATGTTCTGACCTGGGTTGCCTTTATGTACTTGGTGGGCTCAGCTTCTATCCACTTTGTAAAGTAATCTACTGCCACAATGAGATACTTCCTGCCCGTTGACCCAGTGGTGAATGGTCCCAATATGTCCATTCCCCACTGAGCGAACAAGATCGGGCTGAGGATTGGAGTCAGATCGTTTGCTGGCTGATTTATGACTGGTGAATATTTTTGACACTTGTCGCATTTTTTGACATATGCTAGTGCGTCTTGCGTGAGAGTTGGCCAATATGCCCCTCTTCTAAGGACCTCTACTCCCAATGCTTTCCCGCCGATATGGTTGGCACATATTCTAGAGTTGGCTTCTTCCATAATGCCCTCCTGCTCCCATTCTGGAATACACCTCAGCAGCGGCTTTGAGAAGCCTTTCTTGTTGAGCTCTCCATTCATCACTACATACCAATTTGCGTCTTTCATCACCTTTTTAGCCTGTACTTCATCATCGGGCAGCGAGCCATGAAGTTTGTACACCAAGATGTCTGAGAACTAGGCTCTTTGACTCCTGACGCAGTTTACCTGCTCCTTTTCAGCGATGCTGCTTTCCTCTAACACTTCGACCATCACTGTTCTTGTGAGGCTTTGTAAGGTGGAGCTGGCTAACTTAGATAAGGCGTCAGCTTGAGAGTTTCCTGCTCTGGGGACCAAGTCTATCTGGAAATGGACTAGCTGGGCTGCCAGCTCTTTCACTTTGGTTACATACTTCATCATAGTGGCTTCCCTTATCTCATACGCCCCCTGCAGTTGGTTGGCAACAAGCTGAGAATCAGTCTGCAGGTGTACTTTGCGGGCTCCGGCTGCGAGGCTCATACGCAGGCCTGCCAGCGTCGCCTCGTACTCTGCTTCATTATTAAACGCTTTGAACTTGAACTTGATAGCATACTCAAATACGTTTCCTTCTGGAGACGTCATTATGACTCATGCCCCAATCCCCATTTGGGCTGAGGATCCATCCACTTCCACCTTCTAGACCCCAATGTCATCCTCTTTATCCTCATAGGAGGCTTCCACTATGAATTCTGCTAAAGCTTGTGCCTTGATGGCTGCTCTAGGCTTGACCTCGAATTCATACTCAGAAAGCTCGATTGCCCACTTTAAGAGTCTACCCGATGCATCCATCTTTTGCAATGCTTTCTCCAGCGGGTGGTTTGTGAGGACCTCTATTATATGCGCGTCAAATTATGGTTTTAGCTTTCTTGCTGCTGTGACCAATACGAAGGCTAGCTTCTCTACCAGGGGGTATCTTTGCTCTGCCTCAGTCAGCACGTGGCTCACGAAATATATCGGCCTTTGTTGTTTCTGTCTTTCTACCAGCCCGAGCTTGTGGTCCTCCTTTGAGTGTGGGCTGGACCCCCCGGGCACTCCCCCCGAACTAGCCGGCAAATGCTCCGGGGCTTGGGCAGGGGCAGCCGCAGGGGCAGCCACAGGGGCTTGGGGACTGCAATTTTAGAGAGACGCGAAAGCGAAAGCCTATGGGATCGCTTCTGTAACTGGATAACCAGCACTGAAAACCTTTCCAGGAGCGGGAGAAGCAGAACGGCTGCGATTTTCTGTATTGACGCTGAGATGTACAACTGCAGTTTTTCTGTCAGCTCCGGACTGATCATTGTTAGGAGCTTAGTCAGATGCTCCTTAATACCCTCAAAGGCTTCTTTCTCCTTAGTCCCCCACTTGAGTTCTCTGTTTCCTTTCAACAGCTGATAGAATGGCAAGGCTTTGTCTGCTGACTTGCTAATGAATCTGGTCAGTGCGGCCATTCTGCCTGTCAACCGCATGATATCTTTGATGCTCTTAGGCTCGGGCACACTGAGGACTGCTTCTACCTTTTCTAGGTTGGCATCTATTCCTCTCTCGCTGATCAGAAAACCCAAAAACTTTCCAGAGCTCACTCCAAAGACACATTTTTTCGGGTTGAGCTTGATTCTATACTTTTTCAGGGTGGCAAATGTTTCCTCCAGATCTATGATGTCCAGCCTGCGTGACGCTCTTAACAATTGAGTCGTCAACGTATACTTCCACATTTCTTCCCTTCTGGTGAAGGAATACTCTATCCATTGCCTTCTGAAAAGTTTCTCCAACGTTCTTCAGCCCGAAGGGCATAGCTATGTAATTATACACTCCCCCTTTGGTAATGAATGCAGTTTTCTGCCTGTCTGGCTCGTGCAGGCTGATTTGATGGTACCCTGAGAAGGCGTCCATAAAGCTTAGCATGGCGTGCCTGCTGGTTGAGTCTACCAGTTTCTCTATCCGTGGCAGTGGGTAACAGTCCTTCGGGCAGGCTTTATTAAGATCTGTGAAATCAACACACATTCTCCATTGGCCATTTTCCTTCTTCACTATGGCTAACCATTCTGGATAGTCACAGGATTCAATAAATCCTTCTTCCAAGAGTTTTTCCACCTCTTCCTGGATTGCCTGGTTTTTCTCCGTGGAGAAGCTTCGCTTTTTCTGCCTGACAGGCCTAATATCCTCCTTCACATTCAGCTTATGCACCATGACTGCTGGGTCAATTCCGGGCATCTCATCTGCGGAAAATGCAAAAATGTCTTTATTCTTTCTCAGCAGCTCTATGAGGTGCACCCCTACTCCTGTATCAATGTCTTTCCCAATCTTCACCGTCCTCAAGGGATCACCTTCTGTGAGCTCGACTATGACATGCTCCCCGCTGGGAAGTGGTCTGGCCATTTCTTCTTTTGCAGGCTCGAAGTTTTCCATTGCCAACTTTTGTTTATGTTTTTCCCTGTGATACTCTTCACGCTTCCTTTTCCTCGACTTCCTCTCAGGTTGCTCAGGGAGCCTTCTCTCGGAACCGGACTGCTGTCTGGTTTTGGCAGGCTGCTTTAAGGCAGTTATGTAACATTGTTGGGTTGTCTTCTGGCTTCCCCTGAGCTTTACTGACCAACCCTCATTACTTGTGTAAGCCATGGCCAGGTGGTAAGGGGATACCACCCCGCCTATCTTGTGGATGAGCGGTCTTCCCATGATTACATTGTAGGGTGAAGGGGAGTTTATCACGAGAAATTCTGCTCGGACATCACGTCTTTTTGACCTCTCTCTTACCTGGACTGATAGTTCGATTATGCCTTCTGGGGTAAGCCCCGAGCCATTAAACCCGGTGACCTCGTAGTTTACTCTCTTCAGGTCTTTTCTGTCCAACTTCAGCTCATTGAACGCACTGATGTATATGATGTTGGCTAAGCTGCCTCCGTCTTTCAGTATTCTATCCACCTCCCAGTTTGCAATTCTCATTGTCACCACCAGCGCGTCATCGTGAGGGTAAATTATGCCCTTCTGGTCATACTCGTTGAACATGGCTCGTGGCTGCGGGGGAAGAGGTGGCCATCTACGCTTATCATTGTCGTTTATTTGATGTATCATCGCCCGCAGGTCAGCCCGCGCTCTATTAACTGTCCCCCCATGTACTGGACCCCCGCTGATCACGTACACCCTGCCCTCTGGCTTGCCATCTCTATCCTTGTCTCCAGCTGGGCCCGTCTGACCTCCTCTGCGGTTAGCTCGACCCGCTCTATCCTCCTCCCTTCTTCTGGGAGGGTCACCACGCTGCTTAAATTGATTCAAGTATCCTCTCCTGACTAAGTCCTCTATGTTGTTCTTCAAGTGCGTGCATTCTTCAGTGGTATGTCCATAGTCCCCGTGAAAGTCACACCACTTACTGGTATCACGACTCCTATTTACCACCCTTGGAGGCCTCTGCCACTTATCATCAACCTTATTTACGCTGAATATGTGAGATCTGGAATGGGTTAGTGGGCTATACTGATCAAACTTCCCAGGCCTTGGCCCCCTCCTTGGATCGGACCTTCTCAGTCCCACTGCCCTGTCCGCTTCTCTGAAGTTTTGCTCAGCCCTGCATGGCTGGTCCACCCTGGGTGTGTTCTCTGCCCGGGTGACCTCTTCCCTCTTAGCTGAGTCACTTGTTGCTTTCCTACCCAACATTGCTCTGTCAGTCTCGTCTGCTTTGATGAACTCATGCGCTTTACCAAGCGCTTCAGCGAGCGTTTTGAGGCTCTTACGCCCCATATATGCTCTGAATGGTGACCCTGGCAATAGGCCACTCTGCATTGCTAATAGCGCTACTTCCTGGCTCATATTTGGAATGGTTGTTGCCTCCTTGTTGAGTCTGGTAATGAACTCCCTCAAGGGCTCATCCTTTACCTGAACCAGGGACATCAGCTCGGTTGTCATCTTGGTTCTGTCCACCAAGGTTATGAAATGCTACATGAACATTCTCTTCAGCTGGCTGTACGAGTATACAGAACATTTGGGGATGGCGCCGTACCATTCCGCTGCCAGCCCCTCCAGAGTTGGTGGGAAAGCCTTACACCAGACTGAGTCCGTCATGGTGTAGAGTACCATATGATTCTCGAAAGCTGATATGTGGCTTTTGGGTGTTGTGGTTCCATTGTACTTGCAGCTCGTCATCTTCACCTTCTCCATGGGTTCTTCCAGAATCTCCCGGCAAAATGGGGAATCATCTGGAACAACCTGGATTCGCGCTCGTTTGTCTCTCTCCGGGCTGGGTCCTCGCTTTGCGGCCAGTGACCTACTGCGAGGGACACGCTTCTCCGGGCTGATTCAAGCGGGGGTTATTTCCTCCACACTCCATTCTCGATCCAGGTTTTGAGCTTCCAGCTCCAATACCTTTTTCCTCAGCTGAATGAGCTCTTTCTGCTCTGGGGTGAGAGTTGAGACTTTCGGCTTTTTCGCTGCGGGCTCCGCAGCTGCCATTGTCGGTGATGGGCTTTCCCCCTTACCCATATTGGTAAGGATCGCTGTCAATGCAGCCAGCTACTCCTTGCTGCACTTAGAGAGGTTCTGCATAATGGCTGACATGTTTATGGGCTACGGTTTCTGGGTTGCAGGTGCCGAGACAATAAGCTCATTGTTCGCGCCTGTTAACGGCATTCCGTACTTGAAAATAGAGTTGGATCCTACCGGATCTACTGGTTTCGCCGCTGCTTTAGTAGTGGCTGATGTCGATCCGATGGGGTTGGATTTCTGTGAGATGGTCGATTTGGGGTTTCCGGTGGATCCTTTTGGATCGCTGGTTATTGGGGGTGTTTTTTGTGGTGTTTGGCTGGTCTCATTAGTTTTGGACGTGGGTGTTTGTACAGTTTCTTCTCCGGCCATGTTGGTTAGTTAACTAGTCCCTAGCTCAGTTGGTGAACCTCAGGTTAGATGATCCAATCCCCTCCTTCTAGCGCCAATTGTTCCAGGTATGGATCCAAGGGTTCTGCTGGGTAAGCTGGGTCCCGTCAACAACCTACACACGGCAGCACACGTAAACTGCCCTCGGGGGTGGCGCGAGGAACCCCCCTCCGAAGCTTAAGTTAGAGAGTGTTTAGAGAGAGAAAATGTACTTAGAGAGATATAGAAAGTGTAATAACTTGAGTGTCTAACCTCTTTTCCGTTGTACTTTACCCTCTATTTATAGGCGTACTATCTCCTTCGTGGAGAGTTTAGCCTGGTCAGCCCTGCGGGCTGACTCTGCCGGGCTGACGAGCCCTCCTTTAGTCGCTTATTCAGCGGTGAGTGTGCACCCTGGGGGCTGGGCGATAGTTCAGCAGGAGCTATCCTATACAATTATGTTCTAACCATGTCGTTTATGCTTCATAACTAATTCAAACTTCGAAACTAATTATTCCAAACATTTTACTTGATGAGCATGTTATAGATCGTCTCTTACGAGAACCATCATCTTCAAAGGGATATAATACTAAACGCCTTAAAAGTTTAGAGTCTGGATGTCAGGATGAATTGCACAGGTATGTATGTAGACAAATAAATCAATAGAAGTAAAATTATGTATACATAGAAATGCTTTATTTAGATTGCAAAATAATTAGAATTAGCAGTAGTTTCTTTTCATCCTTACAAAAATTAATCCAATGACAGTAAAATGTTCTATTTCTATTCCTTTTCTATCATACAGGCTCAGCCTGTCACAAAACGTGCAAAGATACCAAACACTAGGCATCCAGTTACAAGTAATCACATCTGTGTTGAGTCATATATTATTTCATTCCAGTTTTACATGTTGCTTAATATACACATATATGTGAGTGTTGTGATTTTTTTATGGTGAGCAGAAACCCCTGATGCAACAATTGGTCAGAAATTACCTGCAGAATCGTACCAACTTCCTTGTCCTACTGAGTGTTCTAAGTGTTGGGCACACAAATTTGCCTTTGAAACACCGCACTTTTGCTGTTGTAATGGTGAGGTTAAGATTACTGCAAATGATTACCCTGCACAGCTTGTGAGACTTTTCACTTCTAGGATGAGGATGCAAAGCATTTCAGGCAATACATACGATTGTATAACAATTTGTTTGCATTTACATCGCTAGGTGGAAAATATGATGCTAAGACCAAAAAAGGGATCTATGTTTTTAAGCTGTATGGTCAGCTATATCATTACATTCCCTATTTACTTCCTGGAAAGGAAGGGCCTAAGTACATGCAGCTCTATTTCTATGATGGACAACTTGAAGTTCAGAAACAATTAGGCTATTTTCCAGAACTCAAGCAAGATGTGTTAGCTATTCTGATGGAAGTTACTGAACTCAATCCTTATTCCAGGTTCTTTAGTTCATTGAGAGAGATTCAAATTACTAAGTCAACAAATTTTTAGATAAACAAGACAACTGTACCAGATCAGCGTGTTTACAATGCTCCTTCCACTGATGAAGTTGTTGTCATATGGCTAGAGAATACGTCTTTTAGTGAGGCAGAAAGTCCTCATATTCTGGGGATAGCAAAAAAGGATGCATTTCAAAAATACTCAGCTCAAAATGATTCCATTGAAGATGATTTATCACATAATAAGTCATCTGAAGGTGATTTATGTGGAAAAAAAATCATGTCATACGATGACGCATTATTATGGTTGTTATGATCCCCTGCAGTACCCGCTGCTTTTTCCATATGGTGATTGTGGTTGGACTCAAGGGTTAAAAAAGATGTCACATGGTGGAGTTTAACAGCTACAATCACAACAAGATCTTGTGTCTTCAGAGGAGTTTCTAGAGGAGGAAGCACGACGTATGTCTGCTCTGTGACCTTTATCATTTACGAAAGCCAAAAGGATACAAAATCACTTTCACTTTAAAAAAAAAGAGGAGATTGGATGGCTAGATACAGTTATAGAATAGATATACATTCCTATATTATTGTCTACGGTTAGTCAGTTACTGTGCTTTTTAACCAAGAAAAAATAATGTGTATTTGTAGGTGCAAATGGAGGTTCTTCAAAAACAGATAGAAACATTTCAGCAAGGGAATACTATGCATAAAAGCTTCAATGCAGGCCCAATAATATGCTACTAAGATCAAGCAGATACTTTCAGCAATATATAGTGGATATGCATGTGAAAGTAGAGAATACACAGTTGGATTTCTTTCGTAGGAATCAGCAAACTATAAGAGCAGATCTCTATTAAGGAATCCTAGATACTATTGATTGTGGGGAGAACTGTGCAGCAAATGTTGGTCGTAGAGTGATCTTACCTCCAACATTCATTGGTGGTCCTCGAGATCTTAAGAAAGGATACCTAAATGCAATGTCATTAGTTCGGCGTTTTGGTAAGCCTGATCTATTCATTACAATGACTTGCAATGCTAATTGGTCTGAAATTAAACAGAAGCTTGCTGTTGGAGAAAAAGCACAGGATAGACCAGAAATAGTTGCAAGAATCTTTAGAGAAAAATTTATAGCTTTAAAGCATCTGATAAAAAAGAAAAAAGTGTTTGGAGAGGTTGCAGCAATGATCTATGTGATTGAATTCCAGAAGAGAGGCTTACCTCATGCTCATTTTTTAGTCATTTTAAAGCAAGAGTACAAAATCAAATGCCCTTATGATTTTGATAAATTTGTATGTGCTTAGATACCATCTCTTGACAATGGCTATCTTAGAAAAGTCATACTCAAACACGTAATGCATGTTCCATGCAGTCATTTGGATCCAGAGTGTCCTTGCATGAAGCACAAAGAAAGTTCTGGCTGTTGTATATATGGTATCCAAAGCAGTTATGTGATGAAACCAAAAATAGCAGCGATGGATATCCATTATACCGAAGAAGAGACACGTGAGAAACAATTACAATTCGAAAGACAATTATGGATAATAAATGGGTAATCCCATATAATCCATATCTTTTTTCATATTTTGACTGTCACTTAAATGTCGAGGTTTGCTCTACTATAGAGGTGGTCAAGTATTTGTATAAGTATGTTTATAAGGGTCATAAAAAAATATCTTTCAATATTGTTAAGTCTAAAGATGTTGTACCTATCCAAGATGAAACCCAAAAGTACCAGTCAGGTTGATGGATTTCACCCTGTCAAGCTACTTGGCGGCTTTTTGGTTTTTATATGTATGAAATGCATCCACCAGCCCTGCCTTTTCCTGTACATTTACCTAATTCACAGTTGGTCCAAGTTAGGCCCCATGAACGGCTTACATCAGTGGTTTCAGATGATAAGCATTCTAGAAGTCTTATAGAGTTCTTTAGAATGAATTTTAAGCTGCCTTCTGGAACAGGACTGTTATACAATGAGTTATCAGTACACTGTCGCCGGGATGCATCTGATAAACACTGGTATAAAATACAGAATAAAAAGATTGTCATTGGTAGGTTAGCTTTTGTTGGACCTTTAGAAGGAGAGAGATATTATCTTAGACTATTGCTGCACAATGTTAGGAGCCCAAAGTCATTTGAGCATCTACATACAGTTAATGGTCAAGTATGTGACACCTTTCACCAAGCTGCACTTTAATTGAAGTTGTTAGAAGAAGATGATTCAGTTGATCTATGTCTTAGAGAAGGTTGTGCTGTTCAAATGCCACTTGCAATTCGCAAGCTCTTTGCTACTGTACTTATATTTTGCCACCCTAGAAATCCTGTCACTCTCTAGATAAAGTATTATAGTTTCCTGTCTAAGGATTTTAGACATAGATATGCTTTTAATCCACAAAAAGTGAGGCAGATTACTGTTAACTCAGTTGAATGGTTTTTAGAATCAATGGGGAGTTCTCTTCCTATCTATGGCTTGGACCATTTATTTTATTATGAAGATGATGAAATACGCATAACAAAAGATATAGAGGATGCATTGAATGCTCCAATACCAGAATAGCGTTTGCAGTGCAAAAATCAGTTGGATAAGGCTCAGCGAGAGGCATTTGATGTTATAATGGATCATGTTACAAAGAAGATGCTTGGAACTTTTTTTATAGATGGTCCTGGTGGAACAGGAAAGACTTTCTTATATAATGCTCTATATGCAGAGATAATATTGATGAATAAGATTGTTTTTCCAACAGCAACATCGGGTATAGCTGCATCTAATATTCCTTCTGGAAGGACTACACACTCATGGTTTAAAATTCCATTGGATCCGCTTGAGTCACGTGCCTGTAGTGTACCTAAACAAGGTAGTCTGGCTGCACTATTGAGAGAAACAACACTCATTATTTGGGATGAAGCTTCCATGGCAAAAAAAAAAAATGTTGAATCGATTGGTATGTTACTCAGAGATATATGTGATCCTCAGTTATTGCTTGGAGGCAAAATAGTCGTATTTGGAGAAGATTTTAGGCAAGTTCTTCCTGTTGTTCCCAAAAGAACACAACGCGAGGCAGTTGCTGCTAGCTTGGTCAGTTCTGCTCTATGGCCGTTGTTGACTAAGTTTAGATTAATAGAAAATATTCAAGCTAGACACGATCCAGTATATGTAGCTTTCTTGTTGGCACTAGGAAATGGTGAGATACAAGATAGTGAAAATGCATTAATTCAGCTACCAGCAGAAATTGTAGAGCCTTGTGATTCTGCTACACCTCAAGATATGCATCTGAGTTAAGTTGTTTTCCCATAAATGGATATGCCTCCATTTAGTGCAGATATATTTAACACTCTAGCTATTCTAACACCAGTTAATGATGATGTTGATATTATAAATTCCATCTTGATAGAGAAGTTTCCAGGTGAAGTAGTAGTCTACAACAGTTACGATTTAATGATCAATGATAATTGTTCGATCTATCCTATTGAATTCCTAAATAAGCTCTGTCCTGGTGGCACGAGTCCTCACAAGCTTAGATTGAAAGTCAATAGTCCAGTTATCTTGTTGTGTAACATTTTTCCATCATCAGGGCTTTGCAATGGAACACGCCTGATATGCAAAAAATTCTTTTCAAACGTCATTGAGTGTGTTATTGCTAGGCATCATAAAGGAGAGCATGTATTAATACCAAGAATTATCTAACGCCATCGGAACCTTCAGCTTACCCTTTCCAGTTTCAGAGAAAACAATTTCCCTTAAAGCTTAGTTTTGCAATGACCATCAACAAAGCTCAAGGGGCAAACACTTAATAAAGTTGTTGTTTGTTTGCCACGATCATGCTTTTCGCATGGATAGCTATACGTGGCTCTTTCTCAAGCTCGACAGGCATCTAATGTTAGTGTTATAACTAATGTCAATGATGATCGACCAACTTTAGGTCATGTCAGAAATGTAGTGTCCTATGATATTCTTCATATGGTTGGTATCATTTAGCTTCATCAGTGAGTGATAGATTTTCGTTTCTTTTCATTATAATTGGTTTAGGATTGGTTTTCTATTTTTAGTATTCTTTCCAAAGTTTGCTAATCTATTTGCCTTCATTTTCTGGCTGCATGATACACTATTATGCAGCAAATGTTCCTTCTGAGGCATAGTATCATTGTTCATAAATCAAAGTAGTAGTTCTCCTTTGGAATGTGGTCTGCTATTTATTTATATCAAAAACTTTATAGTATGTTGGTTCTGATTCAAGGTAAAGCTTTACAGATTTCCAATAGTGTTTAATGTACATTTTTTTCTACTATCTCTGCAGTGCTCAGGGCAAATTCTGCTCATCATATGCTTAGAACAGAACAAATGTTCTACTAATTTGGCTAGCCACATATATGTAACTCAATGGATAGACCAATTTCTTCTAGTGAGTTGGTTATTTGTGATTATAATGATGAAGTCATATTTTCTAATGCTCATTACTCAGAAGAATGCTTATATTTGTATTTCATGGAACCTAGCATATGCTATTAGTATAACTTTCTAACTAAAAGTAGCCCCGTACGTACTGTATCCTCATAGTCCTACGTGTATCACTAGCTAATTTTAGAAAACCATGATCTTCATGCAAAGATCATTAACAAAATAATTTGGATCCAGAAAATCTTTTTAATAAGCAAAAAGGCCTAAACACCATGAGTTCTAAAATTCAAATAGAAGAGATTTGTAATGGCCTTTATTAAAAAGAACCACACAAAACACTGTGTAAAATTCATATCCTTGTAGCTATGTTCGTAGAACATTCTAAATTCTAATGTATAAATATCAGATAAAAGCTTCTAAATTAATAATGAAGGAAAAGAATTGAAAGGATAAATTCCACCCAATAAAACCCCAGATACAGTCAATTGCAGCAACAGTAAATTCCTTTCTTATATCCTCACAGTTTATAAATTAATTGTACACATGGTTATAAGGATAAAAAGACAAAGCATGTAAATGATTCAATTTTAGACTAAAGATATGAAAATAGATATGCAACTCCATATTTAAATAATATTCAAGTACATGCTATATCTACAAAAAAATAAAAGAACTTATTTTAGGTAGTAAACCTTACTGATTTTATGGGAAAAAAATACAACAAAACACTATTACAGCAAACAGTAGATTTGATTTCTTGCCTTTTGTTTTGAATTTATTTTTTAAAATATAAGCAAGATTTACTATAAAAACAGTACTGACATTAGGTCTTTTTACTCTTCATAAAATTCGCTATTGTTTAGTAAACCATAGAAAGGAAAGCACCAAAATAGAGCACAAGCAGAAGCTACAATCTATACTAGCAGCATTAAAATCTCTGCAGCTTGACAGGTATTATCAATTCATGTATTATTTCACTTCATTTATTTTTCAGTTTAACTAATTAGATTCGAATTTATTACTACCTAAACATCCATGCATAAAATGCATATGTCATGCCATTTATATTCCTCAAAAAACTTTAGGTGCAGTCTATGAAAAAGTCATTATTTGTCTGTATGCATCTGTAGATTCACAGTTACATGTGTATAATTCTTATAGATACTTGCTCATGCTTATACCTGTTTGGTAGATCACTGTAAGAACCAGGATATATATGAATTTATTCATCAGAATTTAAAAGGACAAACATTTTTGGCTAAATGACCAATTACCATATCAATTAGTCTAAATTAATGTCAGAATTATTATATATTTTATGGTTACAAATTATAATGCTATAGATGTTACATTACTATTCAAGTCATTAGAATCAATTTGATTTTAGTCTTTCAATAGCTATATATAGTTCATTATGTTGTTTACATTTATTATCAAAAGAAGCTATGGTTAACAAGATCAATGTTTGTAACAGTTACACTTATATCCACTGATTAGAATACAAGTAGTATTGATTTTCAGTGTGATTAGTATTTAAGAGTGATTGGAATACACGTATTGTTGATTTTCTATATGATTCATCTTTAAAAGAGTGGATAAAATCAAGTAGTAGCTTATTTCTCCATATTGATGTCAGTTATTTGTTAATTATTTAGAGAGAAATGGCCATAAATATATGTGTATGTGCAACTTAAACTTATTTACCATCATTATTATATTTTGTGTACGGAATCTTGTTATGGCACCTCAACGGAAATTTCTTGATGAACTCGATACATCGAGTAAATCATACAAGGTAAAGGTCAACATAGCAAAAAAAAAAAAAAAAAAAAAAAAAGGTCGAAAGCAGGAATCTGAAAAAAAAAAATCTTGTACCAATACATTATCTTACAAGATGATAAGGTATAATTTAAACATGCCATTTACATTTTATAACCAGCATCATACATGATTATATCATAAGGCATTTCTTTGTCTCCATTTTCCAGAAAAATCGGATGAAGATGACATTTTTTGGTGATCAGATTGATGCATATAAAGATGTCATCTTGTTCAGAGGGAACTATGATTATTGATAATGCCTTAATAAGGCCATAAGATCCCGAATACAGGGCTAGAGAAACAGATCTTCCATTATATAGGTAGAAGGACTCTCATTCAGTCTTTAGATCCTGAAGAAGAGCAAGTATTCCCTAGATACCAGTCTCTTGCTTCAGTTCCAAGAGTCTCTCTTGATGATACTCAACATGGTATTAAAACAATTTGTCTTGGTATCTTAGACCTATGATTATGAATTATATCCTAATTCCATTAATAACTTACCACCATTTTATTTTCTATTTCAGATATCCTCGTGATTGTGTTGTATGTTGCAAGAGATCCAAGGAAAATCGTGACAACTCTTAATAAATAATCTTTTGTGCGTGAACTGATAGTGTTAGACCATAGGTGACTTTACTTCTACTTTCAACAGATTAAATTCCATTATATCATTACAATCCTTATGAGAATTGTACTCTAATATTTATATGCTGCTACTTTATTTTCAGCACTGATCAATCTATTAAGGTATGCACCTGGATTGATCTATGAGGGAACCAGTGTGAGGCTCTTGTTTTTGACACTGGAAATTTCAAGGTTATTGGTATCACAGCTCTGCGTCCTATCACTCGCAAAGGTAACCCATAAGGCACCCTAATAAGTATATGCCTTACTGTAGGCGTCGCTCGAAGTGCGCCTACGTTAAAAGCATGTGGTGAATATGCTTGGAACTCTTAGGAAGTGGGAATTGACGTATACAATTAGGGACAAAGAAAGTAGGGAGCCGCCAACAAGTTTTTAAGGAACTTGTAAACCGTTCACGGATCATAAAAGGCAACCACGAATAAAGGGACAACGATAGGAAACAACGATTGACCCGTGAAGGTTACACCCCATTCTTAATCCATGAGATTACTAACTCCACATGGTTCGGAACAACGAAAGGAGGATCGGGGATGATGGTACGAAGTGAGTCATGGAGTCACATTCGCCCGTATTGGCCTCTACTCGATTCTTATAGTGAAAAGTGATTCATGCGATCTCAAAGGCATACAAACAAAAATCCAATTTGCTCCAAACTATTATTAAGCTAAATCGGTTTAATATTAATGCAAAACATTATTCTTAAATATTGTTATTACTTGATTTAATAACAAGATTAAAAAGGAACCTAAACCGATTGTCCAAATTATCTTATTAGGTGTGATTTTCAATTACATATTCTCTTTAAACATGAAATATGGTGATCATAAAATATATAATAGAATAACATCAATATTGGAAGCAATTTAGAAATAATTCCAACAATATAAAATCGTTAGAAAAATAATAGAAATAAGAGGAATATAATTCTTACTTTGATTCTGTTTGTTTGCAACTACAAAATAATAAACGAGTTAGTAACTTCAAGGAAATAATATTAAATAATAATTAAACTAAACTAAATAAAGTAAAGTTGATTTGGGGCCAAACCCTCAAACAGTTCTACCTTTTACGCCTTGGCTTAAGGACAGAACCACGAGTAAAGTATGGACTCCTGGGAGTGCTTGAAGAAGGAATTTTGAAAGAAGAAGGGTAGGCTAATGTTTAGGCTAAAGCATAGAAGAGAGAAAAAACTAGAGAATTACTTGATGCCCCGTACATCAGAAATGAGGGGGTATTTATAGAGAAAATGTGCTGAGGGAGCACACAAAACCCTAAAATGATAAAAACCCTAAAAAAGTATCCCGAGACACGGCAAACTGTACCGTGACACGGGAAGTCCCACCGTTAGACGGGAAACATTCCCGTGACACGGTGCAATTTTTGAGAGACGCGGGAAATTTTTAGTAAACAGGGAAGAA